TTGACAGAGTTAATCATTCCTATCTACAGCTAGTTCTAAAAGAAATGAATTTTGATAATAAATTCTGACAAGTAATTCATACATTATTTGCTTCACAGCAAGCTCATATCAGAGATGCTGGTAAAACCTCAGAACCTTTTAAAGTAGAATGAGGAGTCAGACAGGGTGACCCTCTCTCTTCTCTCTTATATGTTTTAGCCTTCAACCCCTTTTTCAAGCTCTCAACAAGATTCTGTTTATAATTCAAATTAAAGAAAAGTCTTTCAAGATAGCAGCCTATGCAGATAATTTAACACTAGGCTTTAGCACTGCTTCAGACTAGAACAACTTTATGCTTCTAGCTTAGAAGTATAAAAAGGCATCTAATGCAAAAATCAATAAAAACAAATCGATACTAATACCTCTTACAGAAAATGCTTGAAGAATACAACTTCAAGGAATGAAAAACTTTTAAACTAAAGAACAAGATGGCACAATTACCATTCTAGGCTATGAAACTAACATTGAAAGAAAGCCAGCAAAAGACCTATGGCATAAGATAACAAACAAAATCAAAAAAAAGATTGATCATCTCTCTACAAGAAATCTTTCTTTTAAAGAAAAAATTCTGGTTACAAAAACCTTACTTATATCAAAGATCTGGTATCTAGCTTATCTACTATCTCTAAGCAGAAAACAACTTAATAAAATAGGCTCAATTCTTATTAAATGGATCAAAAATAAATCTAAAATGCTTCTACACAACTTAATATTTCAAACTGATAAAAAGCTAGGAGGCCTAAAAGCTCCTATTCTAAAAGATCTACTTGACACAAGACTATTATCAATTTGGACAAAGCTACTAACTGGAAATAGCTTTTGGTTAAATGTGGAAAGAGAACTAATCACTACTGATCTTCAAAATAAAAAAGAAATAACATCCAAAGCTGCTCTAAACCAAAATAACATTAAGCTAAAAGGGTGGCCAGAAAGATGGAAACCTATCTAACAGCTTGGAAAAGAGCAGAAGGATTGATTACAGAGAACAACACCTGGTTCTAGATTTCAGATAATATCAAAATAAAATTAATGACAGCAAGCAACTACTTAGTCAAAACTATGACCAAACTTCTTCAAAATAAAACATCTACTACAACACAGAATAGTACACCAAGCCAAGAAACCTAGTTAGATAATACATATGAATGGATGAAACTTGGAAATATTCAGAACAATAAAAGAACATTTTTTAGAGACTAATGCATAGAGCCCTACTCTTAGGTTATCAGACTACTCACTTTGCACAAAACTCTGATAATAGCTGTCCAGGCTGCCCATACATTACCTAAACTATAGAACACTTTGCACTTAAATGCAAAACTAGTAAATGAATTTGGGAACAAAGCTATAAACTGCTTAAAAACAATGAAATGGAGAATCCTCCAACCTCAGTAAAAGAAATAATTAATGCAAATAACATCCAAAATGCCAAAAAATGCAAAGCAGTACTGTGGATCCATATTCATGCAATTTACGAAATTTGGCATTGGTTTACTCAAGCAAAATGGGGCAATAACCTAATATCAGACAATATAATTAGCAATATAACAAATAGTAGACTTAGAAAAGAAATTAAAGTACTTAACACTTTACAATGAAGAGAATCCAAAAGGGATCTGCTTCAAAAAAAGAAATTTTAGACTTTATTAATATAAATAATAGCTATATGTAATTCACAATTATCTTCTAATAAATAAATAAATAAATATGCTTAATTGCAGATTTTTTAATAAAAAAAAAAAAAAAAAAAAAAGAGAAATTGAGAAAAAAGAATGAAAAGAAAATTAAGAGAACTGAAGACAGAAACAACTCCAAACATATCAGGTATAAGTTACATCCTATTTAGAGACTTTGCAGACCTATGTCTAGAAGGTAAAAAAATATCAACTAAATGGAAGATAGTACAAGTTTACTCAATATTTAAAGATGTTAAGTGGAAATATAGTTTAAACAACATATGACTGATAGCACTAAAAGAAACATTTAGGAAAGTTGTAACAAAGGTGATAACAAGAAGGCTTGCCAAAGTGTTTACAGAAAAAAAAATACTCAAAGAACTAAATTATGCAGGCCTCCTAGGCAACTCAACAGAACAACCAGTACATATTTTCAACATGATAATGGAAGAAGCAAAAGAGAAGAGTAAAGAAGTATGGATACTTCTACAAGGCATAAAAAAAGTATTTGACTCAGTTTCACTTAAGAGTCTAGAACTAGTACTGTAAAGGGTTAAAGTGCCTAAAAGAACAATAAAATACATCCTGAATCTGTTTCATGAAAGACAACTAAAAATTATTACAGCTCACAGCCTAATAAAAAAGATAACAGTAAAAGATGGCATAGATCAAAGAGAAGTAATATCTCCATTCGAAGTAGCCAAACAGGCAAAAACCTCTAGGTGGGGGGTACCACCAACCAGGCTGCTGGATCGAGCCAGAGAAAAAGGATATCAGGCTGACCTGATATACCAATGGACTGGTCATAAGTCCTACCGGGCTATCTGGATTGGGAGTTTGGTGAACTGGCAGGGGTATACTAAAGTATTTTGGATATGCTGTGAAGTAGATGCTG